AAGCATCTCAGCCCATAAACCCAGGTGAAGAATGCCATTCCTGCAGCTTGGCTGGAGAGTCCCACTATCAGTACTATCCTTTAGATGGAGCCATCAGTAGGAAGTCCACACCTCTGCCTCCTGGCTGGTGGGGAGGTCAGCACACTTGCATGAACTGAGTCTAATTTTAGAAGTGCTAACCAGCCCCTGGCCGTTCTCAAAATGTGAAAAGTGTGATGGAGAGTTTACCAACACTGCATCAGACAGATGCAGGGCATGACTTGGACGAAGAACCGAAGTTTCCCCTACTTTACTTTCAGCTCTGGCTTCTGTTTCCCCAGTGGGTGATCCCCAACCCCTGCCAACCTCCTTGCTTTCTCCATTTCCCTTCAAGGGCAAACCCAACAACCATGGGTCACAGGCATGCTGCTGTGGAACAGACCACAAGAATGCACTTTTGTGATGGGGGGAGGGGTCCTTCTTGAACCCAGTTTATTAGCATTCAGCAAAAGAAATATATGTTGTAACAAATAGGCAATGCATCAAGATATCCAGTGAGAGCTAGGATTGGACAATTATGTGATGTCTCAGGGATAAGGAAGGGGAAGCTAGGGCACATCCAGGGACCATGCTCCCCATTTTACACTGGGAGAGAAAAAACTCTTACACCTGGGGTGGGTATGTACTGCAGTTACCGATTTCTTCCCTCTGTCCTCCAGCCATTTTATTCAATATGAGCTAAATATACATTCCTCATTTCTTCTCCACCCCGCCCCCATATACAGCAGGGAAAACAAGCACCAATAGTAACAAGAATAATAATTAAAGCCCCGCCTCTCAGTAGGCCCAACCCTCATACATAGACATGCCATGTGGATTTTCTTCTTTGGAGTGACTGTAGGATAGAAAAGTGGGAATCAGACCAGCAAGACATTACCCTGATAGTCACTGTTCCCCCTTAATACCATTCGTATGTGAACGGGAGCAGGACAAGGCAGGAGAAATGGCGGTAGGGGGAGAGATACCCCCAAAGCAGCAAGAGGGGTCAAGGAGTTCTCCAACATCTCTTCTGGGCAAATGTCAACTGAGTTCTTGGAAAGTCCCATGCAAGGGTTTCCCCAGTGAGATGGCCAATTCATGGTGGTTGAAGCATCACTGCTATCTGTCTCTTTAGCTTCTTAGGGAAAAGTGACATGATAGAAACTCCATGTCCTCCTCACTGGGTTGAGAATGCCCCCAAAATGCTCCTTTGGAGAAACTCAGCATGACAAATAGCACAACATGGGGACTCATTTCAAAATGAAAGCACAAAACATAAAAAGGAGGGGGGGGAGAGAGGAGAGATGGGTACTTCCAGAAGGTCTACACATGGGGAAGGGGCAGGGCCCAAAAGAAAAAAATAAAGCCATAAACAACATGCTATCTACCAGGTTCTCCATGCCTGAGTCACCTGGCATTTGTCATAGTACCTGGGCATCTTTTGCTGTCCCTATCATGGAGGGAGGGGATGGATAGTAAGATACATTGGGATGAAGAGAGGGGAAAGAGTGAGGACCCTAGGCGGTTGAGATGCCAGCCCTCTGCACAAGCAGCAGCAATTTTTGTGTCATCTTTGTTTTGTTTAAAACTGTAAACAGCACCACTTAAAAATAAAATATATCAGAAAAGAACAATTGATAAACATTGTTTTCCATGAATATAAAATGCAAACAATACAAAAATAGATAATTGACTTTTGATATATATATATATATATTAAAAACAACTTGGATGTAACATACACATGGGTAAACTTGAAGTCTCCCTGCTAAATCCCCCATGCCTCCCTCTAGCAACTGGGCCCAGGGGCCGAGGGTGGGTGGGGTGGTGGCACTGGCAAGGGTGGGAAAGTTGCTAGCAACAGGATGAGAGGAATACACCCTGGGTGTAGGAAGCTACTTCCCTGCTTGGTACAGCATTGAGGAGGAAGAGAGAACAGTGTTGACCAAAGCCTTTGGCCCAGGAGGCTTATGAACAGGTGCCCAAGCTGAGTGCCCCAAGGCAGGGCTTCCTTGAAGGTGCTAAAGCACTGAGAAACTGGTAGCCCTGAAAGAAGCCTGCTAGTTGGCCTTCTCTATCCATAGTCACTGGTTCCCCATGGACTGCTCCCATCCGAGAATTCTCAGGATCAGAGCTGTCTGGTACTGAATAAGCCTGCTGGGTAGCAAGATGATGGCAGACACCCCCTCTCAAGTCCTATCTTCCCTTGAAATCACACCCACAAGCATTATTCCAGGACCTTGCAATGCAGACACGGTGTTCGTCTGGTCACAGCCTAAGATATGTGGGCTTGACATCAATACCTTTAGTAGACCGGGGCATGTCTGGTGCCAGCTAAGCAAGCACTGGCTATCTTTGGGGAGAGGCCTGGAGATTAGTTGGCTCTCCCAATGACAGCCTGTGCTGCCATCAACACGTCTCCAGCTAGATCTTCCTTCCTCTTCCAGGCTGCTGGTGGGATTCGGCCATCAACTGCTTGGATATAGAGACCCAAAGGAGCCTGGCTTCTGTAGCCATTCACCCTGAGACTGTCCCACTTCTGGTGGTGAGGATCCTGTCCTTGGGCTGGTAAGGACATTGAAAGAACTTGCAGGCAGCAATGATGTCTAAACCATGAGATGTTGCTCAGTTCTAGGCCTTACTCTGTACTTGACCTTCCAAAGCCCAGCAAAGTGTATTAGGATGATTGATGACTTCCCCTCAGGGGCAGCACCTCTCTTATTGTCTTCTTTTCACTGAGAGTTGATTATAATCTGCCCTTGGCCAAAGGCTGACCATCTACTTTTTCTCTTCTGATAGGCTGGAGGCTCAGCAGGCTCTGGAGGCTGGTGATGGCTCTACTACCTGCTGTGGCTGGCACAGTCCATATACAGATAGGAGCTTTAACTGCCCTGAAGGACAAGCAGAGAGAGAGGAGGCAAGTAGTGGGGTTTCCCCTGTTGTAAAGGCATTTGGTGTTTACTTCCTGCCAAACAGCCAGGCCTATTTCAGTCCCACCCTCCCAGGGCAGCTTTGGTAAGAGGCCAGATGGTCAGAATTTGGGCACTTCTCTCCTGGAATGCTGTGCTTGGGGTGAGGAGGGCCTTCCTCATGCTTTTTCTTTCTCCAACTCCATGACTTAGGTATTTCACAATGCAGACAGAATGAGCCTGGAGAGTTGGTCTGGGTCCCCTGAACAGTGGTGTTAGTGTCACGCAAATTCATGTGGTACTTCCAGGGGTGAAGCTTTTATCAGACAGGCTTGCTCTTTGTGGGAAGGATCGCTGCCAACCCCAATCTGAGAAATGGTGATAAAAACCAGCACAGATACATTCTCTGGCCAAGAGGAAGTTTGCCATAAAGTTTGCCCTCTTGACTCAGGGAGCCAACAGCCTCTGTTCCCAAGAGCCCGGTTGACCTCTTCTCTTAACAGGCATGGAGATAAGTGGGTTAAGGGACAGGGGCAGGAAGGCAAGGTTTATAATTTGGGTCAACACACCCAGGCAAAAAATGTTCCATATTCTATTTCCAATCAAGAAATTAAAAGGAACCCTCTCTTATTGGTGATTCATAAGAGGTTGAGCCAGGTTAGATTAGCCTGTTGCAATGTCTTCCTGACAGCAACTGTTCTTCACCAGTATTTCCAAGATAGTTTAACATGAAAACTGTGGAGAAGTGAGTGTACCATTCACCCCATAAAAGGCTGCAACTGCCATGCAATCAGAATCCTGCAGCTTGGCAGAATGAGGGCAGGTCACAGACTGTCCTCTCAAGAAGGCTGATCCTTTGAGGATGCTAAGGACTTGGCTAATTAGAAGATGAAAGCTCTTTAGAGAACCAGAACAGCAGCCTAGAATGCCTTTGGTATCCTGTTTCTTGGGAGTGCTAGCCTGGTGTCTCTGGAGCCTCTTTACAGCATCCAAATGGAGGGGTGGGCAAGGATTAGGAAGTTTTTGCTTTTGGGGGAGAAACAATTTTCTCTTCTAAGAAGCTGGGTTACTTTGAGCTATGCAATGTGTAAAATTCTCTCCTGCCAGCAGGGACAAATGGACCTCTCTCTCCTATCCTTCCCCTGCAACCCGCAAAAACCCTGACCCCCTTATAGCCAAGCCTAATTTAGGCTGCTTCTCTTCCTGTATCTCAATTAAAAGAATATGTTCCTTGTGATGAGATTATGAAAGTTTCCTTTAGAGTTAAAGAAAAATTCAAAAGTGTCTGTAACTCAGACGTCACAAGCTTAAGAGAGGAAGAAGGAAAAAACTCTTATCATTCCACAACTCAAGCCTTATGGCAGTATCTACAATACAACCCTATTTTGTCTTCTGTTTGCAACTGAATTTGATCACGCCATTAAGGGGACAGCATTTTTGTCTTTAACCCAAGCTATGGCAGACCAGGTTAAAGGGCCCCCATCTGGTTACAATGCCAAAGTCCACAGCAATAGGCAGTGAGACACATGCTACTTGATCCTAAGGACAGTTAGCTGGGGTGAATGGATTATAATCATCTGATGTAATGGTGACAGCTATGCCAAGACTGAAGGGAGTGGGGATGGGGAGGATCTGTACCAGTATTTCACATTGTCAACAGCAAACAAGCCCCCTGTCCTCAAGTGGGAAGCAGTGCAGACCTGGCTGTTCATCAGTGGTTCATTATTCACTGTGTGTAGGGGTGTGGCAGGGGTACTAAAGGTTCAGCCTGTGTCAAGGAGGCATGCTATATATATAATCACTAACTGGGCAACTGGAATAGGCACAAAAGTACAGCATCCCAAACCCTGCGTGGGTAACAAGAAAACCCAAAAGTAAAAGCTGGAGCAACAGAGCAGCAGCAGCCTCCTGGGGCAGATGTACTCAAGCTGAATGTGACCACAGATTGGCAGAAGAGGGAAGTGGGAAAACAAAGGCAAAAACTCATAGGATCTTTCCTTGGCCAAAAGGATTTTCAAGTTAAATAGCAATCCCCATCCCCCCACCCCTCTGCCCAACCCCTCATCCCCATTCACATGCTCAGGCCCCATGCCCCTACTCCAGAATAGATGATGACTACTCAGCTAGCTTTCCATTCACAGCAGTGGAGGAGTAGCTGGTGGGGAGGGGGAGAGAGGCACCTTGCTCAGCCATCTCCTTTGACAGGTCAAGGCTGGAAGCCCTGTAGTGAATGGGTTGAGGCTGCTGGGGATCAGGCTGGACCCTGGGCAGCTGAGGGATGCCATGAGTGATGCCCACAGGCTTGGCCTGGGACAGAGGACTGGGGCTGAAGCCTCCAAAACTGGAGGAGCAACTGGGCTCATCAACAGGCAGCAGCATATCTTGAGGCCTGGCCCTCACACTCTGAGAAGCCTGTGGCTGCAGGTTATAACAAGGGACCATGGGAAGGGGTAGGTGTGAAGGCCGAGATAACTGAGGCCTGGATATCCCAGGTACCCTTGGCTCTGGACCTGGTACTGACAGCAACATTGACATGGCCACAGGAGGTATGCAACAGGCTGTCTGCCCATATGGAGACTGGCCAGAAGACCCATCCAACTGGCTGGGACTTATCCAGGCAGGGCCTGGGCCCACTGGAAGAGGACAGGGAGCCCAGGCAGGCCAGTCATAGGCCCCTGGTGGTTCAGTATAAAGGGACAAAGGACTGTCTCGGCCCCATTCTTCCTCCTCCTCTTCTTCATTTGAATCTTCCTGCTGAGCCTGAAGCTCACCAGACACTGTGTATTCCTGGGCAAGGTGGGAATTGGAGAGCTCCAGTTCCAAGGTTTCCGCAGTGTCCAGGGAGCGACTCCTCCTGTTGAGGGCCATAGCAGCAGGTGGAGGCCGAGGGTGCATGCCAGGCAATCCCAAGTAGCGAGGGAGACTGCTCACACCCCAGGGCAGACCTTGGTAGAATCGGCTGTGGTAGTTGTTGAATGTGTGTTTCTGGTAGTAGCCCAGCTCAAAAGCTTCCAAGGAGGCTGCAAGGTCTTCATCATTGTGGAACTCAGGATTCTCTTCACACTTGCCTTCCCCATCCCGTTCCACATCAGCGATATCAAAAGTCACCATAGGGGGCAGTTCAGGGAGGTTCTGAGTGAAGGATGAGTCAGAGTCAGAGCTGCAGGACATGCTGGAGAAGAGGTTCCCGCTGCTGGTGAACTCCACAAGGGCCTGTGAGAAACTCACAGTGGCATTCCCTTCTTTCTCAACCTCCTCTTCCTCTGGCTCCTCAGGGGGTGAATAAGTAGGGTAGGCCCTCCTGGGAGATCCTCCAAAGTTTGCTTCTTGCATGTCTGGCTCAAACATAGCATCACTTTGGAAGAGCTGCATCAGACAGGTACTTTGATCCTTCTTGGAGCAGATTCCCTCAAAACGCTTCTCTAGAGGACGGAAGTCCCTCCAGTCTGGCTCACTGCTTGCAGTGGCAGGGAAAGCTGAGGTGGTTCCCCGGTGGGAAGTCTGAGAGGCCCCTGATACCCCTGCTACCAGGCCCATCACTGATGGGCCTAAGGGCCTCATCTGATATTCCATGATGGGCTTCTCTTGCCAAGTCTGAATCTCTCGGACTTGAGCCTCTTGAGCATGGTCCTCTCGGGCCTGGGCTTCCCTGGCATAGGCCTCTTGGGCTTGGGCCTCTCTGACATGAATTTCTCGGGCATGAGTTTCTTGGGTATAGGTCTCCCTGCTGTGAGCTTCTCGGGCACGTGCCTCCTGCGCCTCTCGGGCCTCAAGCTGCTCTCGCCGAAGCTCCCAAAACAACAACTGTTTCTGGATGGTCACTAGCCGTTCTTCCTCTGTCTCCATTGCCCCAGGTGGCCGAGAGGAAGAAAAGGGGTCAAAGTTCAAGAAGGGATGAAATATCTCAGAGCTGTGACCATGGAGGTCATAAAGACAGTCATCTACAGGTGGGGAGGTCTCAAGACTATCATCTGGCTCATAGAACTCATACAGGGCATCTCCACTGTAGCTGTCTCGGGGCAGGCAATCCCTCCGGACAAGCCCCAAGGCCTCACCTGAATCATCCTCAAATCCAGGTGTTGTGGAATCATAATAACCCTCATCACTATTGGGGGCAGACTCTTGCTGGTCACTCTGAGGAGTCAAAAGGTCCCCAGGGTTTAAGCCAGGATAAGATTGAACTGAGTCAAGAAGCATATAGCCATGGTGGCCTGGAGATGTGATGGGATGGTAGCCCAAATTCAGATTGGACCTTGGGTACATCTGGGCACTTGCCCACAGATATTCTAAGTCATATTCTTCTTCCTCCTTGACATCCTCTTCTTCCTCCTCTAATTCCACCTCCTCCTCCTCCTCTTCCTCATCATCATCATCTGGCAAGGCCATCTCCTCCCCACCTCCTTGGTAGGTCACCAGGCAGGAACTTCGTTTGGTCCCATCTCGATTGGCCCTCTGGCCTCCAGAGGCCATGCTGTCTGTCATACTGTCCATGTCTTGCTCTGCTATAATGTCACCACAACCTGTCAGTGAGTCAAAACTTTTCAGGGATGTGACATCCCCAAACAAGAGGCTTAGCTGGTCCCCAACAGGGCCATTTGGTGGATTTACCTCTTCTGCCACCACCTTCTCCCCTGTTTCTGGACTGTGGGACTCCTCTGGGCCACTGGCTTCAGAGGCAGGCTTGGGCTGCAGAAGTACTGAGGCATAGGCCTCCTTGGGTTTTTCTGGATCTTTACAGGCTGTCTTCTCAGTGACTACTGGAGAAGGCTCTGGTACTAAAGAAACTTTTGGCCCAGGAGCATCTTGGGGTTTGGCATTTTCTTTTCTGGAGGCTTGGAGGATATCCTCATTATGGGGCAGAATGGCTGAGTTCACATATTCATGAGGCCTGGCTCTGGTCCCTTCAGGCCCCTTGGGCCCTAGCTCACTTTGTTCAGCCCCAGAGACCTTGCTTTTCCGGTGACGGCGGATACTGCTGAAAAAACCTTTCAGGCCTTTCTTTGGCTTGGGCACAGAGGGAGCCTTCTCAGCCCCAGCTTTCTCTGTGGCTCTAGCCACAGATGTCTTGCATCTGGAGCTGCTCTCCAAAACCCCATGGGCACTCTGGGAACTGGGAAGTTGGCAGGGCGATTCGGGCAAGAGTAAGGCAAAGCTGGTTCCTTCACTGACAATGTCTTCAGGGCCACAGGCTGCTTCAGTCAGGCCATCGTGGGTCTTGCTCTTGCTAAGACCCTTCTTGGAGATGCTTTTCCCAGAACTTTTGCTTCGGCCCCCTCCAAAGAAACTAGGCAAGGTACAGATACCCTTCTTGCCACCAAAAAGTTTCATGGCAGTTTTCCTCAGCCTACCTGGGCCAGATGAGGGTGGCTCCGACACTAGCCCTTCTGTTATCTCAGCTGCCTTGTTCTTGGCTCCTTTCTCTGCCCCTTGGTCCTGGGTGTCCATAGAGGCTACTGCTCCCTTGGTCTGAGAAGCTTCATCCTTTCCACTCTCCATGGTGATGGGGACAACTCAGGTATGTTCAGCTGAAAAAGCAGCCTTCTGGCTTCCAAGCACTGTTATAACATCATCAGTCAGGAAGCATCCCAGTTGGGTCTAGAGGAGATGAGAGAAACAAAGATAGAGTATACTGGTAAGCAAGAAGCCAGGCTGGGTTTGTTTTCACAGGTGTCTGTTAGTTCAGGCTTGAGTGGAACCAGAAAGAAAGTAAAAGAAAATGTAGGGAAAACCTTAATGCATTCCATATGGTTGGCTTGCTGGGCCAGTCTCCTCTGGGCCCCAAGGCAACAAAACCCTACATTGAACAATTAGACAGCCATCACCCCAGCCCCTCATTGGGTTCACTCCCTTCAGTAGCATACCCTAGGCCAGAACACTGGGCAGGGGAAACTGCAGATGTGGGAAATGCTCAGTTGTGCTACTGACTACAGGAGGAATTATCAAAGGGGGTAAGATAGGGGGAGGCAGGAAAGGCAGCAGGGAGGTAAGCTCCGATGACACAGAATTTTTGTTTTTTTTTTTTAATTTTATTTATTTGAGAGAGAGAGAATGAGAGATAGAGAGCACGAGAGGGAAGAGGGTCAGAGGGAGAAGCAGACTCCCTGCTGAGCAGGGAGCTCGATGCGGGACTCGATTCTGGGACTCCAGGATCATGACCTGAGCCGAAGGCAGTCGCTTAACCAACTGAGCCACCCAGGCGCCCTGACACAGAATTTTTGAAAATCATCTGGTAAAACAGCCCATTGAGTCCTCACTGGGCTCTGCAAGATCCAGGCCTCAATTTCACCTTAGTCTGGGTTCTCACTGACATTTTTCCTGGGGCTAGAAAGAAAAGTAGACCCGAAGTTTCATCTCTTCCCCACAGGCTACCTAGATTGCCTACCTGCACATGCTCAGACCTTCAGAAGTTCAGAATAGGAGCTTCACAGATCCACATTGCAGAGCTGCAATCCAGGATCTGCTAAAAGCGCATGGTGGCCTTGGGGCAAGGCACTCTCTAGACTTCGGTATCCTTGGTCCAAGAAGCCTAGCCATACTTCCCCCTCTAGTGGTTATGTGAGGGGTAGGTCTAGGTCAGACTCTATTGACTGTTTTACTGGGAAAATTTTTTAATGTGGCTCTTGGCAACTGGAACCCCCCATGTTCCACTTTAGAACTGTGAGGCAAACTATTTCTTCTCATTATTTTGGCCCTCTTTTAGCTCCCTATCTAGAAAGGGAGCTCCCTGAAGGCATAACTCCACATGATTCATGTTCCTGGCCTAGAAGTTAGGCTCTCAACAGCTATTAAATTAATAAACCTGGTACAAAGCACACCGTTCTGGTTTAGGCTTCCAATCCTCCAAACATCCAAATGCTACAGAGATGGAATAAAAATGACTATCCATCACCCATCCCAACACATGTCCTCCACCCCAAGTCTGATATATTCATTCTAGTGACTACAGTTGGTTGACAGATGGATCAGTGACCAGCCTGCTAAAACCCGATGACCTATCCCTGGAAAGTTCCTCACCACCGTGGCCCCTCTCTGTAGGGTAGCCACCAGCAGACAGGGAGCTAGGGTAAAGAAAGGAGGAAAAACAACTGCTGGGAGCCAGAAAGAGACAGACAAACCCTGCTGGTGTCCCTGGAGTAGTTTGCCAACACATCAACCCTATAATTGGTGGCAACAGTAATAAGACACATATTCACTCGCAGTGGAAGATTATGGACCAGTACTGGGGGTGGAGAGAGACTGGCAGCTAACTAGCCCCTGACCTAATTGGAGGAACCCTCCTGGAGCCCCTGATCCTGTTCTGCAAACATTAATTTTGTGCCTTGTGCCTTGCTTGGCTTGACACTTGAATCATCAGTGTGACCAGGCTTCCATCAGGAGCACTCTGCATAACTGAATATTAAACTTGGAGCAAGATAATGGCTGGTTATCCAGAAAATAAAAGAGAAAAGATATCATCTGATCCCTTCTCTGCAGAGATATGTAATGTCATTTGCTCAGGCTAGGTTTTTCTTTTTTTTCTGGATGACATATTTTTACATGATATTGTTTCAGCTCAGCTCCCCCTCCCCGACAAGAGTTATCCCTACAGTAAACAGTGCCACCACCACCCTGAAATACACAATCATGCACACACACATAACCACTCAGAGTCCCCTCCTCAGGAATCAGATGGGAATAGGGGCTCTATCATCTATCTGAATTCCCCACTTTTCAAAACAGAGATGTTTTTATTTCAACCCTGAAAATGTTGACAGTGTTGTCATTTATGGTGCTAGACATGGGAGAGATGGGATAGGAGTAGTGGAGTTGTTTATGAAATTGTATTCCCCCCCTGTGGAATTTATGAAACAAACCTCTCCTGAACATTTGGTAAGTGATGGACATTAAACTCAGTTCTACAAGGTAGGCCAAGAAGCGGGAACCCCAGCTAGTGCTTTTGAGGAAGTTCCTAGGCTAATAGGGAGAGGGTCTTATATATAGGATACAACATAATACAAGTCTTAAAGAGGAGCTCCCATCTTAAGATGCATGGTGGAGTATCAGTCTTCATACCTTGTTATCATATCCCAGGATAAATCTGAAAAGCAGAAAGACACCCCCTAGGTTCAGAAAAGCTGCCTTGAGGAGAAGGCATTCAATCTGGGCCTTGTCAGACAGGAGTTAGTAGAAATGGCAATGATTTAGGTGAAGGGATGAGTGAGACTAGTAAGTATGGCTGGGCATCAGGAAGACCAAGGGCCAAGTGAAAAACCTCATGAGCCTAAACATCCTTGTGGATAGAAGGCTGAATTCCCCTGCTGGGTTTGGGGATGGAGTTCCTATGAACAGAGGGATTAGGCAAATTGAATCTTAAAGAGGGTCGTTTTCGAGAACCTTGATACCCTGGCTGGAAGGCAGTTCCTATGGGCCTTCTCTTTCCCTTGCTCCTGTGTGCCACTGGGGTAAAAGCCAGCCCACTACTTTCTACATTGTCCCCCTCCCTGCCACAGGAATCTGCAGTGTGTTGTGGAAGGAGCCATGAGCTGCAGGGCTGGGTTCCAGGCCATGCTAGGGGACCCTGAACAAGCCAAGGCACCCTTCTTAGGCTTGAGCACTTATGAAATGGAGATCACTAGAGTGGTGTGAGAATTAGATCAGATAATGGACACCATATACACTTTGTAAAATGTAAAGTGCAGTGCAAATGAGAAAGATTAACATTACTGTTATTCTTACCACCTTCCAAGTCAGATCCCAGTTTCTTAGGAAGTAGCGAACATGTGTAAAAGAACACTTATTTGGGAAAGGTATTCACTGTGTGGGGAGCCCAAGGGACTAGCTGCCTTGGCCATACTGAGGAAGAGCCAGGTGTGAGGGAATTTTAAAAGCAAGAGTGTGAATTTATACAAAGTCCTCTGCTTAAGGGCAGTTTTAAAAGCGTGTGTGTGGTGAGAGTGGGTGAACTAGGCAGGGGTATCTCTGGGACTGGGATTCTCTTCCCACAACTTCAGGCCCTCCTCCTAACTAGGACCAGGGTCATTTTTGCTGGCAAGGACCAGCCTTGAAACTGTGCTGTCTCCCATTTCCCTACCTTGTCCTTCCCAGGGCCATGTACCTCCCCACAGCCACACATAATGTCTATTATGTCTCCCCAAGACAGTAGAACAGGAGGTGGCAGGGTCACCCATAGCTGGTATCCCTCTAGCCCAGCCCTACCTAGCTACCTCTGGCCCAGATGCCTTCTTCACGCTCCTTGCTACCCTACTTGGTCCCAGTGCTATCCTTCCCCAATGGGCTATGTGCCTTTATTTGGGAACACAGAATTGACTGGCCGAGAGAGTGAAGTGGGGCATAAGGCAAAGGGGACTGCAAGGGACAGACTCTGCAACCTTTTCAGGTTGGAGCTGAGTCCCCTCATGGTTTCTGCCAAGAAAGTGGTCCTGCCAAATGCAGGGCCCCTCAACGCTTGGGTTTCTCAACCTTTGTGGCTAAGTTTCTGGTGGACTGGTGCGTAAGGGAACACTCTAAAGCTACTCTGTGGTCTCTAGCAGGGGCAGTTTGTTGCAGCTGCTGCTATCATGGCAGGGAGTGGGATGTGGCCATCTCTGCTCCCAGGACCAGCCTCAGGCCATGCTGGGACCAGTGAAAGGCTGGCTACTAGGACAGAGCTTTTGTTTTCCTCCCTTCCTCTCAAAACACAAGCAGGAGAGGAGCCACAAACTTGCCCCAGGAACCCTTCTTAGTGAGGAGGAAACATCTGCAGCCTGAGCCTTACATATTTTACTCCCAGCTCAGCTTCCTGGGGCCAGTTCAGCCAAGTTAGAGTTCAGGGAAGAAGTGTATGGATTTATGCAGTAGCTCCAGAGGCATCACCTCAACCAGGCATAGTTCCCTAGACCTCCACCAAGCAGTCTTCCTGGGGACAAGCCTACTCTGGGCCCATCTTGCCCTTGTGTATGGGGGCATGGTAACTAAGGAAGCACTGGTGAGGATAGGAAGCCCTCTCCCCAACAAGAGGCAGTCAGTTCTACACTATAATCAGTTCTGCCTACCTGGGGGAAATCTAGCAAGTTCTTTCAGTTTCCTTAACTGGAAAATGAGGGTATTGAGAGTGCCTACCTCTTAAAAATATTGTAAGGAACAAAACCAATGTATATATGTATACCAAATAAAATTCAGTATATAGCAGAGGCTCAAAAACATAGCAACTAATTTTTAAAAATATTTTCTTCAAACTATAGTTGGACAATTTCCAGCAACAAAACTCCTTGGTTTGTGTAAGTCACCAAAACTCCTTGGGCCTCAGTTGCCCCAAATGGTAAATGATGGTGACTACGTTGGTATCTCACAGGAGGCTTTAGCTGCTCTTTTAGCCACCTTTCATATTCAGGGACCTAAAATGTTGCCTCCAGTCAGCTAGTGGCTAGCAGCTCTGGATTAACCAGGTAATTTCAACTAGCCATGTTCTGTAGCCTAGGCCAGAAAGGTCAACAATTCAAATTCACCTAAACGTACCAACATCAAAGGAAATGCAAATCAACAGACACCCTTCACCCAATGGGGCACTTACCAGTTTACAAAGCACTCCCCACTCCCTCACCTCCCATTTGCCATTC